TTTTTAAATTTATTTTTGAATAAAAATTTTTTTAAATTAATTTTTAAATACTTTTTATAGTTTGTCATGTGTTTGCTGTTATAATTATAGATTATATAGACTATCGTCACAAGCTCTGAAGATAACTACAGATCATAGTTGTAACATTGGCGCAAAAAAAATTTGTTTAGGAGTTAATAATAAAATTGTTAATTATTTTTTGTAATTTTATAATATTCAAAGAGCGTCATTAGAACCACTATTAATTTTTTGGTTCTAATATGGTAACAATATTGGAATAGGTAAGCTTAGGTCAACTTATAACGACTATCTTAATGATCCACTTAAGCCTATTCGTCAATTTTACTAGGGTATAAGCAACTAAAAGGTTTTAAAACCACATTCTACCCTCAGCAAAGCCTAAAATTGTCTTTAGATCGAGATCTTGCTATGTTTTATAAGATATATATATGACCTCTTATTCAAAACACTACAAAGAACAAGACGACTTTAATAAATAGTTTTATATAATTCTTTGGAGGATTCCACTGTTTGCCACCGCCAGCTATTTTATAGCCATCAGTAAAAATGGTTAGAACCTTTCCTAATAAGGGACAGACACTATTCCAGTAACATATATAAAATATTATTATCGTATATGTCATATGTTTAGTTATGCATTGACAAAACTTTTTCAACAGCACCCAGTACTGTAAGTTATACTGAGAACAATATTTAAATGATTTTTACACTTTATGATAATAAATTAAAATTTGATATGAACCTTAATCAGGGAAGTTGTATATTAACGTGTACTTCTAGTAGCACAAGAGGGATAAATCCGCATATATTTTTGGAGTAAATTATTTAATTTTATAAGTATTTATTATGATACACAAGTCGTTTCGTGGTCTACCTCGACTAATCCTTCACTTTAGTGGGGCCACTTGTTAGATGGTGCGCTGTTCCAACGATATATATATATATATATATATGATATACTATTACTGAGAATTATTTCAGAAATTTAATTATTGATTATTAATCATTTTATTTTTGTTATATTAAACAAACAAGTTGTATTCAAAATTGAAATAAATTATAGAAAAATTGAACATATATGACAACTCATAGTTTATTTCTATGTTTACCATAAAAGGAGTTCTAATAGTTTTGTTTGAATTTTCTTTGTATTGAAAAATTTCTTTGAAAATTCTTAACAAGACCAAATTTTAATTACTTTTACGCAGTTTTAACCCTCTTGCCCCCTGCCATTGTCTTAAGCAATAAAAATTAAAAACGAAAAAAATACGCATTTTATTTTTGTACAAAATTCTATTTGCTTCTGTTCTTCGTTAGTTAGTTCCTTGGGCAAGTCACCGTCGTCTATGCAATACTTTTTCTTCCTCTTCCTTTTCATATGCGAATTCATAGTATGTTGAAATTTTATTTTCAATGTTTTTTACTTGGTTTAATACAAAAAAAGAAAAAAAACATTGAGCTTCGTTGTAGTTGTTGTCATCATCAACGTTATAGCCTCAACGTTGTTGTCACATGTCCTAACACAACAACAAATTGGTTAGAACGTACAAATTTAAAATAAAAACGAGCTTTAGAAATATAAAATACAACAACAACTATAGAAAGCAAAAATAAAAGCAAACACAACAACTATAAAATCATTAGAAGCTAAAAATGAAACAAAATGAAAAGAATTTGCCCTGAACGAAAACAAGACGAGTACAAAAGTAAAAGTAAAAACAAAAACAAAAACAAAAACCAAAACCAAAATGTCTAAGCAGAATTTCATGCGTTTTCGGTTTTGCTTAATGTTGTGTGCAATGAAATTGAATGAAAGAACTTTTCATACCCACAAAACATATGTAATGAAGTTTTATATTTGTGTGCATGTGTGTGCCTGTGTGGATGTGTGTGTATGTTAAGGTTTATACGCTTTACACTTGTGCTTATCTGTTGGGCAAATGTCCACTTCCATAACCAAAATAAGTACGAAAGCATATGTGAAAACAGATAAAATTGCTTTAAAAGAAATTGTACACATTTTCCATACATACATGCAGTTCAAGTACACATACGCACACACACGCATAGTCTCATTTGTTTAATGTTGGAAAACACTTGCATTTACATAGTTAGGCGGCAATCATGTGTTGACAGTATACCAATTTTCGCAGTCTATTTTACTGGTTATAAGCTAGTTTTCATCACAATTTCTGTGCCACTTTCCTATAATTTTGTTGCTATTTTCTGTGTGTTTTTTGCTTATTTTATTTGTTTGAATTAGCTGTAAATATAAATTTGATTGTCTTGAAGGACCTTTTTTAATGTGAGGGTGGGTAGAGAACTAAAATATCGTTGCAATATAAACTCTGTTATTGTTGTCTCTGTCTTTACTGTGCAGCATAGTGCAATTTGATTGGTTAATAAAATTTAACTCTTAATGCATTTTAAGTTTTTCCTATAAGTTACATAGTTAAGATGATATACTAAGTAATAATTATTTATTATTAATAAATTATTATTAATAAAATTAAGTAATTATTTATAATAATTTTTAAACATATTTGTTTATAAAAATAAAAGAAGAGAAGAAGAACTTTTAATACACCATTGTTTAGTGTTTACTTTTATAATTAATTTATATATAAAATATAATTTATATTATATTATATTTTGATTATTTAATAAATGTGTTTTTTTTGCTTTACCAATGTTTTTTGAAAAAATTTGATTTAACTAATATTAACGAAATCCAAGAAGAAAATATGATATAAAAAATAGCACTCATACGTTACGTTGACCGTGTGATGTTTCATTATACTTTCATATTAATGTTTAAAAATCACTCAAGAAAAGATATTATAGAAACATTACGTAAAGTTTTATTTTCTTGACATTTTCAGAACGGTTTTTTCTAACTAAGAAAAATAAGTAAACCAAATGGATCTTGTGGCGAATATGGGAAAAACAAATTACTTTCTCTCAACAAACAAATTCTCTGAGCGTCTTAGGTTCCACATTACTATTCACAACAATACATTCGAAGTTGTAAAATATTTTTTTTATTTGGGAATCAGCACAAACACCAAAAATAACGTCAGCTTAGAGATAAAGAATCATTTATAAAGAATCATTTTGCCGACAGTTTTTACTTTAGACTAAGTAGACTCCAAAAAATAAGAAATATTATTGAGATAAAAAACCATCAAATCAAGTCAAACTAAATACAATTCTCTTTTCAGGCTTAGGCTGTTGTATAGTGCAGAAGCTTGGGTAATAACCCACAGCGATGAGAAAATGTTATTGTCTCCTACACGTGACGTACTTGAATACATAATTTCCGTCGCGGGGGATTCGTTGGATTGACCAAGTAGTGCGAATAAAAGAAAGGAATTTGATTCGGTAGCCGCGGTTGAAAAATGCGGTAGAAAATGTCCACATTTTATTTCTATACCTAATAGATGACAGCAAGCTACTGATCGGGTTAGCTGATCGTAGGCTAGCGGAAGTGACCAAGGACGAGTACTTAGTTATAGCCAACTAATTAAGTTTGCGTATATATAAAGATTTCTTAATTAGTGAAATAATATTCTTCTTGTGTAATTCTTGAATGAATTTTCTGATTTTTTATTATTAATTTCTCCTTAAGCTGTTATATTTATATTTTATTTCCAAAAAAAAGAAACTAACAATAAGTTATGATGTAATATAAGTCATAAAATTCACTGAGTCATGAGATTTTGATTCACGAATTTAATTAAATAAATTGTATATCTCTATGAAAGGCAATCACACTTTTGTAAAATTTATATTAAAAAAATCATACTCGTAAAATAATAATCAATTTTATATCTTAAAAATTGACATTTCCTATTGTCAAACTGTCATGAAAATTCCAATAAAATACTCGTCGAAATGATAAAACTTTTCCGAATTCAAAATGCAGAAAAATGCAATTTCCTATTAAAAACAAACAAAAAAAAAAAACGAATGAAAATTTTGTATGAAATATAGGAAAAATAAAAATGAAGAAAACAAAAAAAAAAGGAGAAGAAATAGCAGTGAACGGACATTTATTGTCAGCAATTGTGCTGCGGTCCATTGCCAACGAATTAAAATGATATCAACACAAAAACACAAGCAAACTGACACAAACACACACAAACACATACACATTATATATAAAATGGCAACATATTAAAATGGCAATAGTATAAATTTCAGTAGTGCAGCAACAGGCTAAATTCCTAAAAGTATGCAGTAAAACTAAAACTATCCCAATTCATTCATTGAATTCGGAAATTCAATTTAGTAAACGTTATTTAGCCGTCGACTGTGAATTGTGTAACTCGAATGAATATAAAAGACAGTTAGGCACATAACCATTGAATGAACATACAAACAAACATACGACCGAACAGAGCAGACAACCAGTAAAATAAACTAAGGCAGTTAGGCGAGCAGACAGACAGTCAGCTCGCTTGCGAACAACTAATGGGCAGACAGACAATTGCTTTCGAGAGTCGTTGTGCTATTTTGGTACGAAGTAATATAAGCATTATGTACAAAAATAAAAACATACACATACACACATACATACACATCAATGCCTTAATATAACAAACAAACCAAAAAAACACACACAATTCATTCATAAAATAGATTTAGAGCAACAGTCTAGCACAACATGAAATGTTATGCTATCGTTGTTGTTGCTGCAGCTTTGTTTTTGGTGCTGCTGTTGGAGACAATGTACCGAAGCTAAACATTTTAGTCTTCTCTCAAACCATTTTCGAAAGCAATAAATGATGATATAACCTACAAAATAGCAACTAAAGTAACAGCAACAACAACAATACATTTTCTAATAATTGTTGAAAAACAATAAGAAAGTTTAAAATAAAAAAAAAATACAACAATAATTGTTTGAGATTTTAAAGTATAACAAAAGTTTTTGGTTGTAAAAACAACAACAACAATAATAAGAATTTTTGCTACAGCAGCAGTAGCAGCAACAAGTGGCAAAACTATTTTACATGTGCGCGCATGTAGTCTACCATTACCAATAGAGTACGACGCTGACACCATACCACCACCGCAAGCACCACCACATACATATAGATATGACTATCAGCAACATCAGTGCTCCTAGCATCTTTTCAATGAATACTGGAATTTATTTGTTTGTTAGTTTGCTCGTTGGGTGTATTGGTTGCTCTCGTTTATAAGTACACAACAATTTTGTTGTTGTTGTTGGTAAAACTTATGCTGATGGTGATGCTGCTGCCACCGTCGTTACTGTAAATATAATGTGTTGTGTGCGTGTTTGTTGGTTTTATTTACTTCGTTACATTTCAGCTGTTGGCATTCACTGTCGAGACTTGCTATTTATTTTACTATTTTTATTTCCTTTTCTTTTTTTGTTATTGCAATAGTGGCTGCTGTTGTTGTTGTTGTTATTGCTGAGTAAAATGCATTCGTTTGAAGTTTTCCTTCCTTTTTACATTTCGGTTTGTTGTTGACAATGCTTTTGCTTGTTGATGCTGTAGTTGTCGTCATTGGGAAGTTGTTATTATTGTTGTTGTTGTTGCTGTTTTCATAACTACTGTGATTACTTTAAATGCTTCAATATGCAAATATAGTAGCATTTTATGTGAACAATTAAAACTATTTTATTTTAAGTAGTTTAACCTTTGACGGAAATTGACCGAATTTTATTTTGCAACTGATAGAAAAACGGGAAAAAAACATAAAAGAAACCGCCAATTTCAAATAAAAATTATTTCCTTTGAATCGCTAAATAACACATGATTTCATTCTTATTAAAATTACTAAAAATGATTTAATAACATTTTAAAATTAGCAACATCCATTTAGGGGCTCCCGAACTACAGAACCTGCGTCTTAAGAACATTTTGAGGTTTGCTAAAGGTTTAAGTTAGTTTTTAACTTCTTCTCTTCTAACACAAGAGATTAATTGGCCTAAGTACATTGCCAACATAACCTGACCTGACCCATCAACATCCATTAATTAATATAACTTTTATTTTGGAATAACTAGTGTAAAATAAATTAAGTTATGAAAAAATATTTAAAAAAAAATGCAAAATACAAGAAAAATGTTTATAACAGTCTATATCTCTGAAATCGAACAAGATGGGTATTGAGAAACTAAAAATTAAGATAATTAATCAAGTGTGACATGGGCCATATAGATTAGATATAGAATGAGTACAATATTTTGATAGAAAACGTATGAGTAGTGTTTTTATTTACATAAAAATATATAAAAAGAATTTTTTATAAAATTTTTAAAAATAATTTTATTTAAATATTAATATATATTTTATTTCTATATATTTTTATACACATATTTTATATATTTATATATAAATTTTATATATTTTTATATATACATAAATATACTTTATGCAACAAATAATGCAATTTAACAAATAAAAAATAAAATATAATTAATTAATTCAATAATTCTACAGCTGGTATATGATTTCGTTATAATATAAACACAGCAAGTGAATTTGTTAATAAAAACAAAAACTTTCACAGCAAAGTAACAAAACTCTAGAAAAATGTGCGAACATAAAAATCAAAGCTTTGGCTAATGAACACTGACTGTGAGCTTCAAATTTGAGAGGGCATGAGTTCGATTCCTGGAATTTGCAATTATTTGTAAATAATTAAATACAAGAATTATTTCCAAGACCACTGATGATGGGCAATACTCGAAACAGTTGTACGGTTAGCTAAAAATTCAATTAATTAAAATAATATAAAATTAATTTTTGTTATTGTAGTTAACTACTGTTCGAAAAACCTCTGTATTTAAATTTTATATATTTGTATATATACATAAATATATTTATATAACATTTATATATTTTTTATTTCTATATATTCATACATAAATTTTATATATTTTTATATATACATAAATATATATATATAATATATTTTATATTATTTTTTTTATACCGAAAATTTGCACTTTTAAATCATCCACTGTAATTATAGTATTTTATTTATTTGTATATTAAATACCATAAAAATGTTTAAACAAAAATAACACCCTTATAAATATATGTAAATTTAATATTACTCAAATAATTATCTTTAAATGAATGTATGTAATTAAATACATTTGAATATAAATTAATAAAGACACATCTAAAATTCTATGGAACAGTAGAATAAGCTTGAAAATTAAAGTAACAATTACAATTGAAAGCTACTGTCTTCATATAGTTCATATATAGTTTAAAGTACCTAAATTTCAATACAAATAAAAAAATTTAAAGCTAAAAAAGGAAATTTTTTTGGAAGAAAAAAAAAAATAAAAGTAAAACTGTTCATTAAAAATGTACCAACCACGTCAGGAAAAAAAAACATAATAAAAAGTGCGGCGTTTGGTATCACAATGTGTTCTTTCTCTCCTTCCCTGTCTGTGCGTTGAAAAGCCAAAATATTTAAAAGTGTTGCCAACAAGTGCTTTCCGTCATGTTGCAAAACCAACTTCAGTACTTCACTTCCATTTTATTCCAGAGGTAAGTAAGGATGCTAGTTTTGTTCCTTTTAAATGAAAGTCGCAGTAAGTATGGAAGGAGTTAAAAAGAAATCACAAAAAGACGCCTCATATCAAAATTTACAAGCAAAGTACATATGCTTATTTGAGTCACTATGTAACTATGTAAATTTGTATGAGAAAAGCTGTAAGTGTATGCTTAAGTAACAACAAAAGTAACAAGAAAAGCGTGTGAAGTAAAAACTTGAAAAAGTTAGTACGTAAAGTAAATAGCACGCGTGCTTCCTGGCAAAATGCACAGAATGCAAATAATGTAAAATAAAAAAAAAAAAGATTTACAAAATATTTCGGCACTTACAGTTGAAGTTTTTTACTCCATTACTTCATTTTTTTTTTCGATTGTACCATCAAAACCCTAAAGTTAAAAATTTATACCCGCAATTTTTTGCTTTTCTCTTTTTTTGGAAAGAAAATTGAAAACAGCAGACAAGGCTACTCAAGCACGTACGACAGACAGACATAGGTTCCGAGCCACACTCAAACGAGCTGATAACAGTTTTGCATACGCGTTATGATTTTGATGGTTTCTTTTCCTTTTTGTTTTTTTTTTTGCAGAATATTTGATTTTTCCTTTTTTTTCCATATATGCAATTTTCAAGAGCCATTTTGTAATATAAAAAAAAATTTTTTTGGTGGCTTAATTTGTATGCAATCGCTGCAGGATATTTTATTACATTTGGTGCAGTTTAAGCCTTGCCACACCGAGAATGTGCTGCGTTGGACTTGGGAATTACGCGCTGACAGTCAACGTAGAGTAACATTAACTGCCTGCAATTGCAGCAGTAGGCTAACGATATTTTTTGTTTCTATTTTTTTTTTTTTTTGTTTTTTGACACCGCATAAGTAACGCGTAGTGCATACACATTGCATGCCTGCCTGCCTCGTTTCTGTTGCGTATTTAAGTTTGGCAATTTGCCGTCATTGACTTTGTCTTCTTTTTGGCAATTTTATATTTCTCTTGTTTATGCGCTTATGTGATTGTGTGCTTGCTTTTTGTTGTTTTGTGTGTATAAAAGGATTAAGGCTATCTGCTCGCCAGTTATGCCTTCATTTTGATTTTACTCGTCCATTGTATATACGTGTGTGTGTTCGTGTCTGTCTGTGTTTGTCATGTGTGCACAGCGGCACACGCTTTACATTGCACATAAGTGCACTTTACACACATATGATACTTTCCATGTAGTCAACATGATGAAGTTACTTTTGGCATTTTACTTGTTGGAGTTAGTGTTGTTGTTGTTGTTATACTTGTTACACTTGTTCAATTAGTGGCATCATCACATATATTTCTCCTACTCGTTTTATTTGGCACAACTTGACTTTGGTTACTTTTGGACACAAGCTTCTGGGCTTTTTTGGTCTGTGATTTATACCGCCTATTAACATCCATGCATACGTATGCATACGTATGTGTATGTTTGTGTGCACATGTGCATGTTGTGCTATGGTCTTGCTATGGTTGCATTTTGATTGCAGCAGCATGTGGCATTACTTGGTGTTGCTATTCATATGGTAATCAACTGCACATTCATGTTGCTAAAAGTACCATTTGGTCTCTGCTCCTTCAGCTTCTTCTGCTGTCGTTCGTAGTATTGCATGCGTGAGTGTGTGTGTGTATTAGTTTTGAATATTTTAACAGACAGTTTGGTTACAGTTATTTTTTTTTTTTTTTGTTTTTTGGGTAATAGCAACTTTTGGCAACTTTTCATGTAGATTTTGTGGTTGCACATAAGTGCCGGCGTGCAACAAGTGTGCGTATAAGTGCGCTTAATTGGTTTAACACTTCCACAAAGGACTTTGTTCGGGCTTGTGTTGTATCTTTCAATTAAAGTGATTTGTGAATTTGTGAAATTGTGTTTTCTGAATATTTAGTTACTCACAATAAGTCACTTAAGTGCTTCTCTTATTTAATTTGTTGTTGTTGTTGTTGTTGTTTTAGTTGAATAAAAATATTTGTGGTGTAGAAATTCATGTTTAGGGGCTTTTATTAGTAATCTGTTTTGATAATTTGGAAATTATATTTTGTCCATTTATTGAATTAAATGGAAACCACAAAATTGTTGTTTGTGTAGTTTAAACAATTTTTCTATTTTGTGGTTAAGTTTAGTATGAGGGGTATGTGCTAGAATATTTAAATTGAAATATGATTCATTGTAAAATTTTAAATTAGTAAACAATTATTTCAATAATTAATTAAAGTACACGCCATCTTTACCTCAACTTTAGAATATTGTGAAGTTTTAAAAGCAGTAGAAATGATTATTAATATAAAATAATACCCACTGAAATAGATACTCTCTTATAATTTATAGACTTCTCTTTGAGTTCCTTTTTAAGTATACGTTTTCTGGTAGTTTTCGATATGTTAAGATGACGAATCGTTCTTGTTTTCATACAGCTCGAGTCTCGATTGATTTGGGCCTCAACTTAAACAACTTAAGTTTAGTTTCGTTATATTGTGTTGATGCTGGAGACATGAAAGACTTATTTTTTATTTCAATGCTATTAATATAAACTTGTAAAATAGAAAACTTTAACAGTTCTATATCAAA